TCAGGCAATCCACTCACCTCAGCCTCCCAAAGGTGCGGGATTAGAGGCTGAGCCACCGAGCCCGGCTTAGCTTTTGACTTCCCAAAAATGTAACTGCTAATATCCTAGTGTTGCCAGAAGCTTTACTGATAACATTAACAGTTGGTTAACATGAATTTTGTATGTTATATGTATTATATACTGTATTTTTACAATAAAGTAAGTTAGAAAAAGAGATATTATCAAGAATATCCTAAGGAGGACAAAATATATTTACTATTCATTAAGTGGAAATGGATCATCATAAGGTCTTCATCCTTGTCATTTGCATGTTGAATAGGCTGAGGAAGAGGAGAGGTTGGTCTTACTGTCTGAGGCTGACAGAGGGGGAGGAGGTGGAGGAGGTGGAAAGGTAGGAAGGAGAGGCAGGTACACTGGTGTAACTTTTTGAAAAAAATCCACATATAAGTGGACCCCAATAGTTCAAACCTGTAATTCAGGGGTCAGCTGTAATACAGTAAGGCACATTTCTAATATTAGTCAAAAGAGAGAGGATGTAAGGGGATATTATGAAAAACTTTAATGTTGTAAATTGGGCAATTTGGATCAAGTGTACAAATTCTTTGGAAAATACATATAACAAAACAACCTTAATCTTAATTCTAACCCCCTTTGCCACTAAGTCTGAATAACTCTGTATCTACTAAAAAATTGGGTTTATAATTTAAAATCTTCCATACCTCAAATGGCTTCACTAGTGAATTCTTTTAAATATTTAAGGAAGAAATATCCCAATCTTACACAAAATCTTTAGAATGTAGAGGAGGTAAAATACTTACCAGCTTATTTTATGAGGCCAACGCAATTTAGATACCAAAATCTAACAAAGACATAATAGGAATAAGTTACAGATCAATATCATTAATGAATGAATAAAAATTCTTTAAAAATATTAGTAAGTAAATATAACAAAATATAGAAAGACTCATGGTCAAGTGGACTTTATCTCAGTGTTGCAAGTCTAATTTAACATTTTGAAAATCACTCAGTAATTCATCATATTAAAAGAATAGGAAGAAAAATGGTATAAGTATCTCAGCATATGCAGAAAAGAAAAGAAAAAACCCCAAACAAAACAAACAAAACCCTGCAACTAATTCTAGAGTGGTATGAAAAAACTCTACAGCTAAAATCCTACTTAATTGTGAAGTCATTAATAATGAATGCATTCTTCCCAAGATTAGGGACAAAGTGCAAGAGGATCTACTCACCACTTTGGTTCAGCATTATATGGGAGGTCCTAGCCGGTGCAGAGGAAGAACAAACAAAACTTTAAGGAATGTAAAAGGCTTAGTGTGGAAGAAAGAAGTAAAACTTTTTATTTGCAGACAACAGGGTTATATATAGGAAATCCTAAGGAGACTATAAAAAAGAAAAAATGAAGCAGAACTAATAAGTGACTATAACAAGGTCATAGGATATAGGTCCAATATACAAAATTAGTTGTTTTTCTACATATTACCTGAAAACAATTGAAAAATGAAATGTAAAATATTGTTTACCATACCTTCAGAAATAAAATATTTAGGAATAAGTTTAATTAAAAAATGTGCAAAACCTCTGCAATGAAGACCAAAAAATGTAGAGAGAAGTTTTAGAATAAGTAAATATGGAGATATAACATGTTTATGAAATGAAACTCTCAGAATTGTTAAGCCATAAATTTCCCAAACTGATAAGTAGATTCAGTGGAATTTAATAATAATTCTAGCTGATTAAAAAAAAATGCAGTGGTTAAGTTGATTCTAAAATGTTTATGGAAGCTGAGTATGGTGGTGCACAGCTGTAGTCTCAGCTACTTGGGAGGTGGAGGTGGAGGTCGGAGGGTCGCTTGAGCCCAGGAGTTTGAGGCTCCAATGAACTGTGATTGTGCCACTGCACTTCAGCCTGGGTAACAGAATAGGACCCCATCTCTCAAAAAAAAAGAAAAAGTATTTTGGGAAAACAAAAGACCTTGAGGAATCTAAACATTCTTGTAGTTACAACATGGGAATCTTAAAAGACTGTCATGGTCAAGTAAAAGAAGCCAATGGTAAAAGACCACATACTGTATGATTTCTTTATATGAAAGACCCAGAAAAAGCAAATCCGTAGACATAGATAGTAGGTAGTGGTTGTCAGAGGCTAGAGGAAGGGGACACTAGGGAATAGCTATCAGTAGGTACAAGGTTTCCTTGTGGAGTGATGAACATTTCCTGAATTTAGGTAGTGGTGATGATTGCACAACACTGAATGTCCTAAAAGCTGCTAACTGTACGTTTCCAGAGGGTGCATTTTATGGCATGTAAATGATATCTCCGTAAAATAAAATTAGTAGATTTACACTGATTCCAAGATACAATGATTTCAAGTTACAGCAATCAAGACACCATATTATTGGCATAAAAGTAGAGAAATATACCAATGTAGTAAATTGGGGTCCGGAAGTAAGCTCACACATGTGTAATCAGTTGATTTTCGACAAAGACACCATGAGGAAAGGACAGTCTTCTCAACAAATGGTGCTGGAACAACTGACTAAATGTGCAGGAAAAAAATCACTTGGACTTCTGCCACACCTCTCACGATAATTCGGAATGGATCCCAGACCGAAATGTGGAAGCTTCAACTGTAATTCTTCTAGAAGAAACAGGAAAATATTTTCATAACTTTGGATGAGGTAATTTCTTAGGGCACAAAAGGCATTAACCGTTAAATTAAAGAATCAGACTTGGCCGGGCTCGGTGGCTCAGCCTATAATCCTAGCACTTTGGGAGGCTGAGGTGAGTGAATTGCGTGAGCCTGTGTGTTCGAGACCAACCCAGGCAACTTGGCGAGACCTCATCTCTACAATAAATCAAAAAAATGAGTCAGGTGTGGTAGCAAGTGCTTGTAGTTCCAGCTCCTTAGAAAGCTGAGGCGGAAGGATCACCGGAGCCCAGTGGGTCGACGCTAGGGTGGCCGTGAGTGTGCCACTACACTCCAGCCTGGGCAACAGAGTAAAATTCCAACTCAAAAAAAAAAATCAGACTTTATCAAAATTAAAAATGTATGCTCATTAAGAGAAATTTAAGATAACGAAAAGGCTAACCACAGCATGGGATAAAATATTCCTACTACATATATCTGACAAAGGACTTATGTCTAGATTATAAGTAGAATTCAATGGAAGATAACCCACAATAGAAGATAACATGAACAGCTTGTATAGATACTTCACCAAAGAAAGCATAGGAATGGCCAATAAACACATTAAAAGGTGCTCAGTATAATTGGTGATCAGGGAGACGCAGATTAAGACCCTAATGAGATGCCATCAAACATTTGCTAGAGTGGTTAAAAAGCCTGATAGCATACAATGTCGGAGAGGATGTGAAACAACGGGGACTCTCATACACTACTGGAAGGAATGTAAAGTAAGACCTCTAGAAAGCAGCTTGACCATTTTATTTATTTTTGTTATTTTAAATTTTTTTTGTGTGTGTGGAGATCAGTGCTCGCAATGTTACCTAGGCTGGTCTCAAACTCCTGGGCTCAAGCAATCCACCCACCTCAGCCTCCCAAAGTGCTGGGATTACAGTCATGAGCCACCGTGCCTGGCAGTTTGACCTTTTAAAAAAACTAAATATGTACCTATCATGTGATCCAGCCATTTCACTCCAAGGTTTTTACCCAGAAGAAATAAAGCAGACGTCCACAGAAAGACACTAATGTTTATGGCAGCTTAGTGTCTTAATGGTCTAAAATTGGAAATAACATGTGTCCATGAACAGATGAAAAGATAAAGAGATTGTGGTATATCCACAAAATGAAAAATACTTTTCGGTAATAAAAAGTAACCAACACTCTGCAACATGAGTAAATCTCCATGAAAGTAGCCAAATCCAAAAGTATGTAGAATCCATATATTATGGTTCCATAAATGAAGTTCTAGGACAAGCAAAATAAGCTCTTATGATTATCTAAATCATAGCAGTGGTTGCTTCTCGTGGGTTGTGGATTGACTGGAAAGGAACTTAAAGTTTTGTGATGATGGAGATGTTAACTGTCTTGATTGGGATGGCAGTTACACAAGTGTGTGTACTTGTCAAGTTTCTTCAGACTCCACATTTAGCATTTATATATATTTATTTTATATATTTGTACTTCGTTTTTTAAAAATCAGTATATTGCCCCCTAAGAGAAAAGCTGGAATTTCAAATGCCCTATGGAAACATTTTTAAATTTAGGAAACTCATTTTGGTTTGTTATATCAGCTTATGTTGTAATTGTCTTAGTTTATGGAGAAGCAATATTTGCAAATTAGTGTAATAAAAATGAGTTCTTACTGGGCATAGATTTTGTGTCAGGTACTTTATATGTGCTAATGTGTTTAATGCTCACCAGAAATTATGAGGTAGACACTATTATTATCCCCATTTTATGAGTCACAGAGAATTCATTGCTTTGACCAAGATTCCAGTGAGGCAGTCTAGTTCCAGGACATAACCACAGACATACAGAAGAGCCTTGGTCAAACATGAAGAGAATCTTTTCCTCCCCATCTTACTTATACCATAAGCACATTTCAACAATTTATACATCAGGGAAGTAAAAGCATAAAACAATTTATACATCAAGGAAGTAAAAGCATAAAAATGTAAAGCTGTGTTTTATTCTTGATTATGATACCATGAATCCAGGAAATATGTATGCGTGTGTGTTTGTTTAAACTTCTATAAAACTAGGATTCAAACTAGAAACTTGAAAACCTGGTTGTTCTGACAAACAATTGTCAAAACCCTATTAACTTTTTCCATACCTCTTTTCTACATTTCCAAATGGTAAAGTTAGCATCTTGCCCAAAGTTTTCACTATTATTTCTCCTTTAGAAAAAAAACAGTATTTTTCCTTATTTGGGTTATTAAATATGGTTATTTGATTTCTAAAGAAAAACATATTTTATAACTTTATATAAACCTCTATAACATTTCTCATTGTAGCTGAAGGAATAAAATTAAGAGCCTCAAAATCAGTTTCCAATGGAACAGTTAAACCTGCTACTTCTGATAACTTTGTGAGTATGTTGTGTATTTAACAGAATCTTAGTCTTCAGTACTTTAGAGACCTATTCATTGACTGTCAGGAGAACAGTTTTTGCTAAGGTTTTTTGGTTGTAAAAATCAGTGTTACCAGGTCTTAGTATTAGGTCATAACTGAAGTACCTTTGTTGTAGATCCTCCCTTCTCAACTGCTGTGCTTAGGCCAGCAGCTTGAGCATCATCTGGGAACTTGTTAGGAATGTGCGGTTTCAGGTCTATCCCCAGACATTGCTGAATCTGAATCTGCTTTTTAAAAAAATTCCATAGATAATTCATCTGCACATTAGAGATTGGGAAGCTTTGTTATAGTAAAAGCTTGTGTTAGTTTCTCAGCATATTAAAGTGATTTTCGAAGCCATTTTAGATAACATTTAGTATCTGTTAGAAAAAGGACTTATGTGGTTACCAAAATTAGCATTTTTTGTGAACCATGGAAGCTTGAACAAAATGGTAAAATATTGGGCACAGATGAGTTTTAAAATATTTTATGCATAAAAGTGATAATTATGAAGACAGTGAAGCAAAATGGAAATGTCTATTATATAGTTTTATGCTTTGCTTTCTTATAATTATATGTCCTATGATTAATACTACGTAAAAATTTAGGTATGCATGTGTTAAATTCTGAAAGGACAGATGATAAATGAAAACATTTTTATCTATTGGATTTGGTAAATTCTCTAACTTTCATTTTTTATAATGTAACAATTTTTAAAAGTGTGTTCTTTGACTAGTTTTATGTTAACTAAACTTTAAACAAATTGCAAGGTTTTAATTACCTGGTGTTAGATCTATTATACTTTCAATTTACTAAGTATTTTCCTTTTATTTTATAGATTTATCTCAGTTTATTTTAAAGCTCAGTATTTACAAACATGTCAAGGGAATACTTTTTCATTAATCTAAAATAAGTATAGTCAGCTCTTAGTCAGAAGTTGGGGGCTTTATCTCTCATTGACTTATTTCTACCTGAGACCCACTCAGAAAATTGTGATTCCTATTAATACTGACTCAGTTGTTTTGTTTCTCTGTAGATAAGCAAAATGTAGTTAACACTAGAACCAGACTATTGCATGTAGCCAGGTTGACAACAAAGAAAACCTTTAATTTATTTTACATTATAAAATGAAGTATTCAGTAAACTTTTAATTTTTTTCTCCAGGAATTAACTGTAAGCAAGTTTTCTGTTTAAAAAATTAGATAGATAGATAGATACCTCAGCTGACATGCTTTTCTTTTTTCCTGTAGTGAGGCGAACATAAATACAAATGATCCTTTTCTGTTGAAAAGTTGCAAACTCATTACATAAAAACCTGAACAACTTAGGAGGCAAGACAGGTGCAATGATTCACATCTATAATCCCAGCTACTTGGGAGGCTGAAGAGGGAGGATTGCAGGAGGTTAAGGCTGTGGTGAGCCATGATTGTGCCACTACACTCCAATCTGGATGACAGAGTGAGACTCCAACTCAAAAAAAAAAGAAACCAAAAAAAAAACATTTCTAACAGAGGAAGCCTTAAAAAATGTTTTTGTAAAGTTCTGCTTTCAGATGATATTAAGCAAATGCTAAATATAAATATTTCCACAGGATGAAAATTTGAAGTGGGTGGAAGAAAACATTCCCTCTTCATTCACAGATGTGTAAGTATATATCCACTATTAAAGTTTGAGTCTGAATTTTAGGCTGTAGTTTCAAAGGAATAGTTACTTTGTCACGTGCTTTTCAAACCTCACGCTTCTATATGTTTTTATAAGCCCCATCTCCAGTGAATGACCAATTAACTACTTATGGGATGTCAAAGAAAACAAAGCCTTGGCTTATGCTATCTCCTTCTTTTTTCACTGTAGCTTTTTCTGATCTACAGGATCTTTTATTCTTTTTACTTGTTTATTTATTATTTTTTCTTTTTTTTTTCACTGTAACTTTTTCTGATCTACAGTTATCAGGATCATTTTATTTTCTTAACTTTTTATTACGGAAAACTTCAAACATATATAGAACTTTTTTTTTTTTTTTTTGAATTGGAATCTCACCCTGTCATCCAGACTGGAGTGCAGTGGCCGCTCCCGGCCACTGCAGCCTCGACCTGCTGGGCTCTGGCAATCCTTCCGCCTCAGCCTTCCGAGGAACTTTTATTTTTTTAAACACATGTAGCCACTGTACTGTGTATTGTGGAGAAGGTTTTGGAAGAAAAACATGAGCACAGGAAAAAGTACCTAGGAATCTCTCTGGGAACTTGGAGCTATTCAGGTTCCTCTTTATCTATGTCTCTATGTGACACAAGAATTCCAGATAGCTGTTTACACAGTCAACATACTCAGAATAGCCAAATATGATAACATTTTCACATATTATTCTTTCTTTTCCTTACCCTCATCTAGTTCCTATTTGGACAATTTCTATTTGGTATATTTCTTTTGCCTGAAGAGTTTTCTTTATGTTTCTTGTAGTACAGGCATTCTGGTAGTGAATCTGTCAGATTTTTGTCTGTCTGAAAAAGTCTTTGTTTCACCTTTTTGAAGATTTTTTTCCCCTGGTAATAGAATTCTTGATTAAAAGATTGTCACTTAAGTATCTTCTGGCTTTCATATTTTCAGAAATAAGTCTTCTTTAGTTCTTGTCTTTGTTCTTCCATTTGTTATATGGGTTTTGTTTTGTGTGGAGTTTGTTTTTGTTTTTTGTCTGTCTTCAAGATTTTCTCTTTATCTTTAGTTTTCATCAGTATGAATATTATGATTCTAGGTGTGTGTGTGTGTGTGTGAACATATATTTTTATTTTTATTGGCTATGTACCTAGAAGTGAAATTGCTAGATCATATGGTAACTGTGTAACATTTTGATTAAGTGCCAAACTATTTTCCAAAGCAGCTACACTATTTTACAATTCTGTCAGCAATTCTATCAGCAATATAAATATTCTCTACTTTTATTTTTAGCCAACACTTGTTATTGTCCACCTTTTAAATTTTAGCTCTTAGTGACTGTGGACTGATATCTCATTGTGCTTTTTGAGTATCTGGAATGTGAACTGTTTTGCGGGGGACTGATGTTATTTAACTAAACTGTGATGTGATGAAATTCGTGCCTATGTGCATTAAGACCTGCCTATATATTATGAAACTGATAATATACTATTATACTTTTTTCTTTTGAAATAAAATTAGCTGGGTGTGGTGGTACATACCTGTAGTCCCAGCTACTTGGGAGGCCAAGGTTGAAGGATTGCCTGAGCCCAGGAGTTTGAACTGCTGTGAGCTGTGATCATGCCACTGTCACTGCACTTCAGTCTGGGTGACAGAATGAGACACTGACTCAATCAATCAGTTAGTCAATAACTTATTATTTAATAAGGAGTCTTGTGTTATAGCTATAGCTTTTTTCTATTGTAAAATGTTTTCATTTTTCCTTCTTTTATTTTTTTTCCTGTGCCATCATATGGAATTGATTTTGTTTTTCTCATTTTCTGGCATTCTGTGATGAGAATTCTTAGTTTGAGTGCCTTCTTCCATCACCATGTGTGAGTTGTGGTTTCTTTTATGGATGACACTGATGCGATAGAAGGATATGGAGAAGAAGAGGTTAGTGTTGGCTTGTTTTTCTTTTATTTCTGTGGCATCTTTAGTTGTCCCTTTCTACTTCCTTTCCCTTTCTACTACACTGTCATATCTCCAAGGAATATTCCTCTTCTATGCGCAAGATGAAAAAAAGGATTGTTTAAGGCTAGTATTTTTGGTTCCACTCAGGTTAAGCCTCTTCCCTGTTGCAGGTGCTGGGAATGGCCAAGTCACCAATCTTTACTCAGTCTTTTGGCATCGAGCATTAGGCTTTTTTGCAGGGACTGATTTTGTCTCTGCTTTGTCTGAATCCTCCTGCCCCTCTGCTATTGTTTATGCAGTCTTTCAACCCTCTCTTTTCCCATTCTCTGTCCCCATGAGCTTGCAGTGACAGTAGGAAATCTGTTGGAATTTGGTATTTATTTCTCTCCTTATATGTAATTGCAAGTTTGTGGTGTTTTTCTGGTAATGCTGAAGACATGGGTCTTTTGTGGTTTTGTTTGCAAGCCTTAGTAATTTTATGGTTTTTTGAGTAAGGATGTATGGAGTGATTCAGATTAGGTGGCCACCATTATTTTCCAGATTTAGAAACATAACTAAGTATTTTAGAAGGAAATTATTTAAGCAGACTCGTCCCCTACTGTGCCACCACTTCTTGGTAGCAGCAGTAAGGCTTCTGGGTAGTTCTCTTTATATATGAGAAAGTTACCATTCTCTATTCTTCTTTCTGTATATAGAAAAATCTGCTTGGTTACAAAAATTCCTTTGGAATATAGATGATTAAAATGTCTTACTTGATGTTCTCATGAGACATTTATGTGAAATGAGTATAGTTGTATAATCCCAGATAATTTCCAAAGTTTTAAGTTCTTGGAAACCCTTGCTTGTTCACTTCCGAAAACTTTAACACAAGAAATTTAACATAATGCTATTCAAATTAATGCATAATTTATGTAGCAAGTTTAGCATTTAGAATTAATACAGAGAAAACCATTCTTTATATAGATCTATGAAAATGGGACAAAAATTTTGCAAGTCATAGGACAATTTAAACAGATTGTGAATAACTGTATATATCGTATATAAGAGATATTTGTGTGGCATACGCTATGAATTTTCACACCTCTCATAAGCTATTGAAGTCAGACTATCATAGCTCGCCTCCCTCTTCAATGCACTGAATAGGTCTTAAAAAGTTTTAAGTAGTTATTAACCTCAGCAGGCACTGTTGCTATTACCAGTGTTTAGCTCTAAGTTCCAAGCCCACAACAGACTGTCTTCTGGGCCTCTAAGATTCTTCATTCCCTGGATTTTCCTTAATAGTATTATTCCAGACAACCTGCTGTGGCTCCTTTCTCACATCTAGTTGGTCTCCCGCCTCTCTTTCTTCTGCCTTTTCGTGGACTGCACTGTAGGAGCATCCTCTGGAGTTATGCATTGCTGTGTCTTTCATGTTATAACTTTGTCCCATAGACTTTGGTTCAGGCTCTGCCCCTCAAAGCTCTATTGCACATTGAGGCTAGGTTAAGCTTACTGAATAGTTTTATACATTTATCTTTTTCTTTTCATCCATGTTATCTTTCCTGAGAAAAGGTTCTATTATAACAGGAGTTAAACAGATGCTTGATTCTATAAATACCATGTTTCATAATGTGTTTACTCATCCCTCTTAAGTCCTCACAAAGGCACATGCCATGTGGGTTTTCCAATTAGTAGATCACCCCTCAGATACTTGTCCAACTATTTAAAGTAAAAAAAATAGCAGGGGATTGAAAACTAAATATGAAGCTGGATGTCAGTGTGTTTGGAATTATTCATTTATTTGTTTTAGTCATTGATATTCTTTCAACTTGTTAGGCTCTGGAATTGCAGATCTTACTTCCAATTATTTCCATTTCAAAGTTAAGGGTATTTAAATATTTCAGTTAATTTATAATTGAACATGTTTTTAAATAACATACATTCTGAAAAGTACACAAATCCTAACTAAGAATATAGCTTAGTAAAATTTTTAAATGAGCACATGTGTGTAATCAACACTCAGGTAAAAAAAAAAAAATAGAATATTACTAGTGCCCTAAAAACCTCATTTCCCTTCCAAATCATGAGCCCACTTTCCCAAAGTTCCCACTGTCCTGATGTCTGCAGTGTAGATTATTTGTGTCAGTTTTTAAAACTTAGAGCTTTGAGGGGCAGAGCCTGAACCAAAGTCTAAGTGGCAAAATTATAACATGAAAGACACAGCAATGCATGACTCCAGAGGATGTTCCTACAGTGCAGTCCACGAGAAGGAAAGAAGAAAGAGGCGGGAGACCAACTAAATGTGAGAAAGGAACCACGGCAGGCTGTCTGGAATAAAACTGTTTGCTTTGCTGTATTATATTCCATTGTATGAATGTACTGTAATTTACCCATTTGGCTTAATTTCAGTTTAGGGCTAACCAGAACAACACTACTATGAAGTCTTCTCTGTGTCTGTCTGTGAGCACACGCACTCCCTTCTCAGCCATGGACATCCAGGAGTGAGAATTCATAGGCCATGGCATCTGCCTGTATTCAACTTCCTTTTAATAACATTCTTACTTTTCTTTTTCTTTTATTTCAGAGCCCTTCCAGTGCTAGTGGATTCAGATGAGGTAAAATATATTTTTGCTTATTTCCTTGGAGGTGATATTTTCACAAAATAGAGATGTAGTTTAGAAAGAATTTCTGAAAGCTTTTAAAAATGATTATAAATTGAGCAGAGACACTGAATTGATTTGTGGGTAAAGTTTAAAGGATTTGTGGGTAAAGTCCTCATTTCAAACAAGACCAAGATAAATGCTTATTGCTATGCAAGAAGGGAAGTAGTATTTCATGAGACTTTGAGTCTGTGGTTTTCTCTTTTTTTGGCTCCTCAAAATTCAACTTAATTGGTTCTATGGTTTTCTAAGATCTGGTGTATAGGTAAGAGTGTAAAAGATTTTTAAGGTGGCAGTTTGTCCAAATTATTCTCTGATACTTATAGATATTTTGCTGAGACATTAGACAAAATTTCAATCTCATTTTCATTTACTAAGCAGGGAATGTGAATAGAGGATATAGATTTATGAAAGTTTTTGGAAAAAATTAGTTATGGATCATCTGGACATTGAATTGTGTCCCGAGGCAGGAAGAGGTCTACCGTGTAAGAAATAATACATTTTAGCCGGGCTCGATGACTCAGCCTGTAATCCCACGCTTTTGGGAGGCTGAGGTGAGTGGATTGCCTGAGCCTGCGGGTTCGAGACCCGCCTGGGCAGTGACACCTCATCTCTACAATAAATAAAAAAAAAAAATCAGCCGGGCATGGGAGCGCATGCCTGTAATTCCGGCTACTTGGAAGG